CTACTTCCGTAGTGATACTGCCTCGGAAACCCAAGGAGGGGTCGCTATGAGTTGGGGCCGACTCGACGGCAAACAACAACAACAACAACAATAAATGTTCCTAATTTAAAAGAAATCAAAGATCTAATATTATGCAATGTTAAAGAATAACGATGAATCTGTGCAATTCTTCATAACATGAATGAACCTAGAAGACATTATGCTGAGTGAAATTAGTCGATCACAAAAGGACAAATGTTGTGTGACCACTACAGTTGAAAGTTTAGAAAAGGTTTACACAAAATGAAACATTCTTTGAAGTTTACCAAGTGTGGGAGAGGAAGGGAGGATAAAAAGCTAGAGGGTAGACACATAATATTTTAGGTGAAAACCAAAAAAAACCAAACTCTGCCATTAAGTCAATTCTAACCCATAGCAACCCCCATTACATTTCCAAAGCACTAAATCTTTTCAGGGGGGCTCTCATGGCGTAGTGCCTAAGGCATCTGACTGCTAACCAGAAGGCTGGCAGTTTAAACCCACCAGCCACTCCCCGGAAGGAAGTTTGGGCAATCTACTTCCGTAGTGATACTGCCTCAGAAACCCAAGGAGCGGTCACTGTGAGTCAGACCTGACTCGACAGCAGTGGGTAGGTTTAAATCTTTTCAGAAGTAGATTGCCTCATCTTCCTCATGTAGAGCAGCTAGTGGGTTTGAACCAACAAACTTCTGGTTAGCCGCAAATGCCTTAAGCACTATACTACCAGAGATCTTTAACTTAGGTGAAGAGAAAGGCAATATATAATAAGGTCAGCATGAAATTATCAAGGCCTAGGAAGACACTGAGAGGAGCACAAGACTTAAAGGCAACAAATGTAAATACTATTAGATATATAATTCTGCAATAACAATAATAATAATAATCTACAAGTGGATATGCAGGTAGGCATGCAAACTGGACAGGTATGGGAAGGTGAATGAGATTACACCCATGAGTACAAAAAGGTTTGACAAAGGATATTTCTATAAATGTATCTATACGTGCTGCAAATATATCCACGATGCAA